CTTGGCAAAGATACTGGAGTAGTTTGCCATTTCCTTCTCCAGTTCATTTTCCGGATGAGAAAACTAAGGAACACGGGGTTAAGTGACTTGCCCAGGGTCACACAATAACTGTATGAGGTTAGATTTGAACTCATAAAGAGGAGTCTTCCTTACTCCAGGCCTGGCTCTCTATCCATTGGACTACCTAGCTTCCCATCTTAGGGTATACTTCTCCACAATTCAAAACTTTTCTAGAATAGTTGAACCAATTACCACCTCTACTAACAATGAATTAGGAGACTGAGATCTCATAGACCTTCCAAAAATGAGTACTCCCATCTTTTACTGTCTCTGTTAGTTTGATATACATGAAGTGACACCTTGGGGTTGTTTTAATTTTGAATATTTTAAAAAAGTCTTTATAGATACCTTGTTTATATTTCTTCTTTTGAAAACTGTCCATGCTCTTTGATCACTTGTCTATTGGGGAATGGTCCTTAATCCCATAGATTTGTGTCAATTACCTATATATTTTATATGTAAGACTTTTACCATGGTATTTAATTTCCCCTAGTCTGTATCTTTTTTCCTTTTTGATTCTAGATGTATTGATTTTTTTTTGTGCAAGAATTTTAAAATCATATATTTGAGATTGTCTTTTATGATTTCTTCTATCCTGTGTGTGGTTGTTCACAATCTTCCCTTTTCTATAATTGTGAAAGATGTAATCTATAATTTCTATCTATTTTTTAAAGTAGTATTTGACTTTTAATATTTGAATAGTCCTTTTTATCTTGGCTAGCTAGCTAGTGAAAATTGCCACAGGTATTTAGCATTCAGCAGCTGAACAGACTTTTTACCCAGGGGTCACAGGGGCATTGATATCTTGAACCTGGCTTGAAGAACTCTGGGAAACAGACAAAGAAGATCCATTTCATTAAGTCACATAGCAGGAAGGACAGTGGGCAGGATCTTTGTCCCCTTCCTCTGGAACTCTTGTGGGCTACTGCTATAGGACAATGGTGAGTTGAGCTTAAAATTGAGCCAGAGAGACTGCTGAGAGTGTGGGCTATTGAGACAAACCCAGGCACCCTGCTCTTTTCCTCTCCCCATCTCCATTTCTAGGTGAAAGATTTGTTCCCTTTTTATTCAACTCATTCAATTTCTGTCCCTCCTCTTTGTGGGAGAAGAGGAATCAAAAGAAAGCAAAACTGATTCTGCCCTGGTAGTCAGCAGTGCTAGCCCTCAATTTCTTATCCAAATAACTTATTTACCACCTCCCTCCCTCCTTCTATTCCTCTATTCACTGCCCTTTTAATGCCATCACTTTATTCTCCTTGATAGAAATGTAGAACTTCCAGTTAAGATGGCTACATGAAAGGAGGCAGGTAATTAAGATTTCACATACCTACTTCAGCAAAAACAAAACAAAACAAAAAAATCAAAACCCTAAAAGAGCACCAGACCAAAGAATGATGAAGAAATCTGAAGAAAAAGTACATTAAATACTTGTATTCAGCCCAGAACTCCTGAAGATGGCAGCCAGAAACTTACAAGCAACAGAGGCCTACCAGAAAATCCAGTGCCAGCACCAGCTAACAAGGTCTTTCAGTTTGGTCCAGGGAAACCTATTCAAATTTCTGTGTCTGGAGGCAGAAAGAGTGGAGGACTGAGAAGAGGACAGTTCTAGGGTGGTCTGAAACACACAACACTAAGACTTTGGAAGAAGCCAGGAGCCAGCAATGTCCAGTCTGTGATAGTAATGCTCACACAAGGATACCCCAGAGGCACCAGAAGTCTATAGCACTATGACCAGAGGCACCACAGAAGATGCTATATATATTTAGTGTTCTGACCCCCAAAGATCCAGGAGGCCCTGAAACCTATTACCATTCTGAGGGCAGACATACCCCAGGAGGTGAAGATCAACACAGAAGCCCAGCTATTTCATCTAGAGACTAAGCAAAGCCGATATCCATCCACCCAATAGCACAACATGGGGTGGAGACTAACCCTGGTGTGGAATATGACATATACTATTAGGCAAAATCAATGTACTCTGTCTTGAGAAACTACAGTGGGCCCTGAAGATCAAGCCTTCTAATTTTAAGGATTCTGAGGGGAGGAGAAGGGCTAACCTCAGGAGATGGACAACAGCAAAAGAACTCAGGTGAGTCAAACAAGACAATGCAGAGCCAACTAACCCATCCAAAAGTGGAGTGGGGCAAAGTCATGCCCTGGCACAAAGCCCCAATTCAGGAACTAAGCCTGGAGATATGTATGAGTAAACAGAAGAAGATGCCAATCATTATAAGGAATTATTATAGATCCAGAGATACCCAAAAGTTCAATTCAGAAGAAGACAGTAATTGCACAACAACTATAAGCAGAGACTCAGTGAAAAGAATAGACTAGTTATGGGGACAGCAAGAATGCTTGGATGAAATGACAGAAGAGAACAAAATGAAATGAGAACTCGGAGGAAAGAATCAGAAGGAAAATAAATTAGAACAGAACGTAGTAAACCTTAACCAAGTAACAGATTCCCTAACAAACAGCAATCAAGGATTCCATGAAATAAAAAGAAATATCTGAACAAAATCAAGACAGGAAAAAAAGTATGTAAAGTATCTCTGATCAAAAATAACTGACCTGGAAAACAGGTCAATGAAAGATAATTTAAGAATCATCTGACTCCTTGAAAAAAAAAACCACGATAAAAAAGAAGAAAAAGGCCTAGATACTTTATTTCAGGTAATGATAAGTGAAAACTCCCTAGTTCTAGTTGAGCCAGAAGACAAAGCGAAAGCAGAAGCCACCTCCTGGAAGAAACCCCAAAAGAAGATAACTCCCAGAAATACCACAGCCAAAATCTAGAGCTTCTAGGTCAAAGAAAAAAAAATACTGCAAGCAAATAGAGTTCAAGTACCAAGGAATCACAGTTAGGTTCACTCCAGACTTAGCAGCTTCAGCAATAAGTGGGAGATAATCTTGGAAT